GGTATGTATTTGCTACTCATACCACTACTGTAGAATTGACTTTGGCAGACCTTCCTCCACGAACGCCGAACAAACGACATGAGAAGGACGAGGAAAGTGTTGCGAGCAGTAAACGTGCTGATAGTCCCGTGCAAAAGAAGGCTGGAGTGACACTTCAATTGCGGAGTACGTGTTGGTTCATACATTGCAACAGTGACTTACAAGACATTACCAGAACCATCAATTGCAACTGAAGGTCTGTTTGTATTTCTATTTAATTCTGGGTGGTGATACTCAAAGTTCGTCCGAAAAGTCAAACCACCGCCAAATCCAAACTTTGCTCAGCAGCCGATGGCAAGCATTCTACGAGCTAACTTGCAACCGGCAACCCCACGGCCACCAGTGCATACACCAATCCGCTATGCCGCAGCAGCAGCCGCTGCCGTCACTCCGCTATCGTCTCAACAGAATGGAGCATTACCCCCAACGCCCTCGACATCACAACCTATTCCACCCACGCCATCAACGAATTTCCCTGAAGCAACGACATCTACACTCTCAATAACGCCGTCGGCTTCGCAAAGTGGCTTGCAAGATTCGCAATTTACATCCTCGCCAAGCTTGACACATCCATCGGTCACGAGTCCGATGCTATCATCTGCTGCATCACATCAACAAGAGGGGTCATTCTATTCTGGACAGGATTCACCAGCAATATCGGAGGCTGTTCCAAGCTCTATAAGCGGTCCTGCGGCCACATCATCGCCGCAACGTCAACAGAAAGGTATGTTTTTTGTTCCAGGAGCACGAGGACAGACGTAATTTTTGCTTAGAACCTGCAGCATCACCTCACCTCGCCAGGGCACCTTCACCTGCTGCACCAGTAAGTGTTTACCGATATTATGCCCACGATGAAGCCTCATGAAACGTGAACAGCCACCAGCATCAGCATCGGCAGTGCCACAATTCCAACTGGTCACTAATGGAGCCTCGCTGATTACTCAACCCCCCACGCAGTTGCCTGCGTCAGCGTCATCGCCACTACCTCAACAGATACATCAGGCAACAATAGCTTCATCAGTACTTCCAACTCCACCCGCAAGTTCGACATCTGTAACACAGCAGGCACAACAGTATCCCCCGGGTATAAAGGTCCCACAGAGCGTGGAACAGCAACCGGCCCCTATCCAGCAGCCAATTGGAGGTTCGCAGAGGCCTCCTTCAACAGCACCAGCTCAGCAGCAGCCGCATCCTCCTTCGCGTCCAGCTGGTTCAGGTGCATTCCCTGGCTCTCTATCAGACCTTGTGGCATCGTTTGAAACGGTCAAGCAGAAAGGTTTGTCACATTTGAACTCTGTTTGAGCAAAAAATCCTGACGGATAACCAGCTCCTCATCGTATGACAAACCTCGGAGAGGTGCACAAACTCCTTGAAGGTGGTTACTCAAATGTGCCACAGCCACAGGACACCGAGAAGTACCACATTACGATTCAACTATGTTTGATAGGGGCTAATGTGTTGTTTACCTAGACCAAAGTACTATGTGCCACGGAATCCCTTTGCGACTCCAGCATTCTATCCTCAGGTTCCTCATCCTATTCTGAGCACCCCAGGCATCTTTTCCCAGATAGACGTAGAGACTCTCTTCTACGTCTTCTATTACCTACCGGGAACATACCAGCAGTACGAGGGCAATCTTACGTTCAATGGAAATTGCTCACGTAACTTCTAGATATATGGCTGCTAAAGAATTGAAGCGCCAATCGTGGCGATTCCATGTGAAATATATGACATGGTTCCAGCGACACTCGGAGCCGCAAGCCATAACAGAAGAATACGAACAAGGCGTGTACGTTTACTTTGATTGGGAGGGATCATGGTGCCAGCGCAAGAAAAGCGATTTCCGGTTTGAATATCGTTATCTTTCGGAGGATTGAAGGTTTTTTTTGCTCTTTCAGTCCTTGTTATCCCCTTTTTTTTGTCATTGCTCCCGCCGTGACCATATGTATCGCCATACGTGCCACTATTGGACAGTCTTGCCAATCACATTCATACTAACTTGCAACCCTATTTCTTAATTATAGTGAATGAATTATGGTTTGAACACGCTCATTGTATACACAGGCTTTCAGTTTGTCCACATCGTCTTTGGGCACGATTTCTTTGGGGACTTGTTGTACAGACGCCTGAGACCTGAATATCCCTTAATTGAGAGACTCTCGGTTTAGATCCGGGTTCTGAGCCTCTCATGGATGATCTCGAACTTCGCTGCGACATATTCGAGCTAATTTGCAATCTCCTTAATTATAACGAATGAATTATAACCTGAACATGCTCTATACATAGGACTTAATGATCTACTCAAGTACCACTACTGCTCCCAGTTTTTCGAGAACCTCTTTTAGTTTATCCGCATCTTCTTTGGGCATATTTTCCTTGAGGACTTGAGGTACAGACTCTACGAACTTCTTCGCCTAATCCCGAGTTAGTGTATATATCCCTTTAATGAGCATGACTCACATCGATGAGCGTAAGGTTCGGGATCAGGGCCTTGACCTCACGAATGATCTTGGGCTTCGCTGCGGCATCGAAGGACTGAAGTTTCAAATTGAAGATAGTCTTCTCCTTCGGTTTCTCCTGCTCGGTTCAGTTTTGTTAATGAATACACCTTCTTCACGAGATGTTTCCCACCTCCACTGCTGCTTCTTCGACCTGGGCGGCGGCGGGTGCGGCGGCTGAAGCAGCTGGCATTGCAATTTCTTGAATATTTAGCCGTGACTTTCGTGATCATGAGTAATATTCGAAATGTGTTTAGAAGGGACGAATGAACCTTCAAGAGCGTGACGAGGTCAGCTGCTTGCAGCAGTGTCAGTCCAGAGATGTCGTCCACTATGCGGCCAATTGTGGGGTCACTTGGCGGAGGAGGTGCTGCTGCAGACGACGATACAGTTTCTGTGGCAAGCCATCTCGACCGGCTAGCTAACGGAGCAAGGGCAATGCTGCAAAAGTAAAGTTCAGCATTCGAACGAGAATTTCAAACGTGCTAAAACTTTACCGCGCGCTAGCCAATCTTGATGTTGAGCATAGAAGAGTGTAACAGCGGCTCTGAGAATTTGGTGAGTATAATTTCTGTTTGAAAAGTGGGGTCGGAGGCTTACTGCCATGGTGTTCAGTCCTAGTATATTTGGACTAAATTTCTGACACGTACAAATTCGGAGGCGTTATTTGGTCGTGTTATGCAGCGGCCTCTAACCTTCAAATTGCAAATTGCAAAATTTTCACTTAGTAAGGTCCCTCATCCAGGACCACCTCCTAGTTAACTACCCTGAATGAGCTCATCGGATTGCCTGATGCTGACTACCGCTACCATTAGACATTGTGCCCCTTTGTTCTATGGGGTGATCCCTGAGCTAAAGTCCCCCCAGCTGGCGCGTATCAGGGTACCAGCCCATTCACGTCGGACGAAATTTTCAAGTCCTTCAAGTTATTAAAACGACGCCACCGCACATTTGAGGGTCGTTCTTTGTTCAGTACTTTGTTCTGAACCTTGATCTTTGAGGCTAGTGCTACCAGTCAAGACTAGTGCTAGCGTTCTGAATAATCAAGATTCAAGTACAACTGCTAGCGCCCGACAAGTCGGGATCTAAAAGATAGATTCATACGGCTCCGTTCCACCGCGGACAACTTTCACTATCAGAACATCAAAATGTTACGTCCGACTACTTGCACACTCGTTACCATTGAACTAGACTAGGTGATTTTGTCTCATGAACATACCGTTTAAAACGTATCATCCCCGTGAACATGTCACGAACTTATCGGACTGAACCTGATTGGCTGACAATAATATTTCACCCCAGTATCTCTCGCCCACGAAGCCCATGCATGTTCTCATGATCCATCATACTAGTCTGATGGGAGAAAACATCAAATCTCCAAGAACATGTACGCGTTGAAATTACCTGCATTAAGCGCCGATTAAGTTTACTTGTCAGGGTCTTCGGCCGTTCTAGGGGAGCTAGGCAAGCTTATCGTTTCGTGATGCCGACTTTAATGTAACTGCTGTAGAGCTCTAGGTTCCAGCAGTACCTGGCGCGAATATGACAGAGCATGTGCGAATCTCCGCTCTCTGTTGCTACCAATCGATTGATGTACTCTCATGTCCAAGACTAACGTCATGAGCTGTGGATTTTCTTATAGCTTGGGTTCGTTTCATTGGAGCTCCGCGACGCAATATGAAGCTGATAAGACTGGGAAGATGGTAACGTTGTAAGTTGCCCTTTGTGCCTTTACAGTTATCTCAGGGTGATTTCTCCAGACAGATCTTGTGTTGCGTTCGTGTGCAAACTGTCTATTTCTAGCTGGCCGGATCGGATGACCGCGCTTCCTAGTCCAGTGAAGAACGATGGAACGACCGAACGAAAACCGGCGATTCCTAAGAGTTTTTATGCCTTCGCACAACCATAACGGAAGCCTTCTGTTGAAGAGACCCCAGAAATTGAAAAATTTAACTTGAGAGCGCGCGCTGATCGAGCACTAATCGGTAATGAATAGATTCTTCATGGTGTCGTTATGGTGCGTGCTTACACTACTAGCACTGTAATTGAGACTACTGAGTGTGAACCTTCAAAGTTCAATTATGAAAGACCTTCTCGTCGGGCTTATGCTCACAAGTATTTTGTATGTAATGAAGTTGGCAGCCCTGAGAAGAGTCCTGGCGAGGTCTGTGGAGGAAGAGAGTAGTTGCGTCTAATGCGGAAATTCTGGCAACTTGCGATTTCGAAGTTGGGAGCCTCATGTGACGCCGAATCTGATTCGGGTCGGCCCAGCATCAGCTTTATACGGAAGCCTGTCACTTCGCACCATTTTTTCACCCCTCACGGCATCTTCCAAAAACAGCTGGCCACTGAATCTAATCATACAAAAGGTTGTTCCAGTTGTTGCTACCACCCGACACTCCCCTCTACACCAGGTATTTCATCACCCTTATCCGCATTCGTTCAAACATATACATCTCTACCATGGGTGTTCTGGATAATACGTGCGTATACTTCAAATCCCCCACATACAAATGACTTGACAACATCGTCCAGTTTTGGAGCATTCTTAATTGGGGTTGTGGTCTCTGCCACGTAGGTGCTCAAATTTGTTCAGTCAAGCAATGTGTTAAATGGGAACTTGAATGTTATAGGCTCTACGGTGGTACGTTTATGCGCTTTTCGCTCTTTGGCCTAACGTTTATGATTCCACAAAGTCACTTGCGTACAGACATGGTACTACTATAGCCGGTACCCCTCGGATCCGTGGTACATCAAGCTCATGGTACGTTCACGTAGGATGACCTAAATGTGTTCCACCATTAAACGGGATTTTTTAATATAGGTTGGCGCTGTGCTTCTATCAGACTCAGTGCATCAAGCTCTGATTACACATACAGGTTAGTGTGAGATACGAGATACGATTATCTTGGCGCTGAACATCACGTTCTGATAGTGTATACTTATCTTGTAACGGATTTTGGCGTCGCTGCTGACCTCGGGAAACTTGTCTGGAGTCTGGTTGTAAGTTGCGTATCATCAGTCTGTGATTCTTGTTTGAACAAATGTGGCAGATCGAAGTCTTATTCAATGGCTTTACAGCACTTTTGGTTCAAAGGTTGGTGTGAGGCCTTTCCGAAAAGAACGTGTCGTGCTGACTCTCGTCCTGCCAGCTTCCTTACCATGCGTGTATACAGACGTATGTGTGACATTTATCCACCAGCGAACGTTTGCTTACTTTCAGCCAGTAAGCAACAAGAGTTTGGTTGCAACCATGTCTGTGATGACCCTTGTGATTGGTGAATTCCTCCTCGTTGTCAGTGAGTATGCGTCTCTTTTTTCAGGAATTTGTCCACTAATATGATATCTAAAGTATACGTTGCAAAGGCGTGAGTCGTGTAAGAATACATCAAGCATTCTGGCTAATGGAAGCTACCTCTAGTATCAATATGACGACGTTCGTGGAACTCACTGCGCTCAAGCCATTGTCCATGTCTGTGAACGCTTTGGCGGCTGCTGGAGATGTCCTTATCGCTGTATTACTCTGCACACTCCTTCAACAATCTCGCACTGGATTCCGGAGGTCCGACAACATGATCAATAAGCTGATTCTGTTCAGCATCAACACCGGTCTCCTCACCAGCATTTGCGCTGTCATGTCACTCATTTCTGTACGTAGCAAATCGCAAATGGCTTGGCGTTGGGCTTCTGACCGAAATGTGGCGCAGATTACAGTGTGGGATGGTACTTTCATTTACATTGCATTTTATTTCTGCTTGGGCCGTCGTAAGTACCATTGAACCGCAATATGAAATTCACGAAATTGACGACATTGTTTTCAGTTTACTGCAACTCCTTACTGGCAACCCTTAACGCACGCAAGAGTCTTCGCGGTGATACCCGAGATGAAAACATGTCGCTCTCACTTCAAGGCATTCAGAAAAGCTCTAATAGCACTGGTACCGCGCAAAAGGTAAGTTGTGAGAATTTTATTTTTTTGCAAAAGGGCTTGGCTCACCTATGATCGAATCATATCAGCGAATTCCGAATAACATCTCGATTAAAATTGATACCACGCAGGAGTACGTTCGGGATGAGGTTAGTTTTATTTTTTTTACCGGGGCCGCGATCCATCGCTGATCCGCATGGACGGCAGTACTCATCTGCGACGGAACTTAAAAGTGCTCAGGCAGTTTAGTCGGTTCGGACATGCCACGAGGGCGATGAGAAGCACAGAATGTACCACCCCATACTTTGGTGTCAATCGTTCTTTTTGCATTGTAACGTATGATTTGCACCAATCTGGTCATTGGAAGAACTATAGCTACTTGGCGCATGGGATCACCGTCTAGAGCATTGCATTTTGAGGAATATTAATACACGGATTTGCATCAAATGTTATTTTGCGGCAAGATCTATTATATTTCTCCAAGATCCAACTTGAAGTATGAAACATGATAAATTGTTGTACGACCCTGAAGAGTTAGTTGTATGATGGGCGGCGCCCTTTGTACCACGAGGAGGAGATTCAGACTAGGTAGGAATAGGCAAGCATTGTCCGTGAGAGATGTGCAGCGTCAATTATGTCCCGCGGGTGCCTGAAGGTTGTCCCAATTTATTATCCGGTTGACAAGCATCTTACGCGCGTGCATGTTACGACTACTGTTACGACCATCCATTATCAGCTGCTCTCGCGCTTCCAGAAGATTGTAACGAAATGAGGAAGGTCCTATACGCAAATACTATATCATCCAGGTCCAAACTTCCATACTCGCTCAAGTACCCTCCCTTTTCAACTCGTCATTGAAAATATCTTATCTCCTTCACTGCTGCCATGTTGACACTCACTGACATTACCTGGCTAGATGTTGGTCTTGCTGGCGTCGGCGTGTATCTCGTAAAGCAGGTATTCACCCAGAAGAATCCCGCACCATACCCCCCTGGTCCCCCCGGCCGTCCTCTCGTTGGGAATATTCCAGACATGCCTCAGGTCAAACCTTGGATCACCTTCACTGAGTGGGGCAGGAAATATGGTGGCTGTCTCCTGTTCTGCCACAAAAAAAACATGCATTTTAACCACTCCGTTCAGGCGACATCTCGCATGTCGAGGTTCTGGGTCAGCACGTCATAGTCCTGAATTCTGTCAAGACTGCGGTGGAAATGCTGGAAAAGAAGAGCTCTATCTACTCTGATCGTCCTGTTCTACCTATGGGCGGTGAACTCGTTGGCTGGAAGAACACTCTCGTTCTTCTCCCTTATGGTGACAGGCTACGCGAGTACCGGAGAAATTTCCATAACGTCATCGGTAGTCGCGCCGCCATGGACATATACCAACCAATCGAGGAAATCGAGACTCATCGATTCCTGAAGCGTGTACTTGCGAAACCGGACCAACTCCAGGCACACGTGAGACAGTATGTGCTGTCCATCCTCATTCATACTTGATGTTTCATGTCTGAATTTGAATAGCACCGCTGGCGCCATCATTCTGCGTATCTCTCATGGCTATGAAGTCAAGGAGCACAACGACCCTTTCGTCGACCTTGCGGACCTTGCTGTCGATCAATTCTCCAAATCCACCGCTACTGGTGCCTGGATGGTTGACATCATACCATCCCGTGAGGCTATAGCATCCTGACTATTGCTTCCAAATCCTGACTGTTTTCAGTGGCTAAGGTACCCGAGTGGGTCCCTGGTGCTGGCTTCAAGCGCGTAGCGCGCGAATGGCATGAGACCCTCGAAGAGATGGTCGCTGCACCCTACAAATTTGTCAAGGATCAGATGGTGACTAACATTCGTAGCTTTCTGATTAGGAGTTGAAGTTTCAATTTTACAGGCTGCTGGTATTGCTCCGAAATCCTTTACCTCGAATCTGTTGGAAGACCGTACTTTGTCTGCCGAAGAGGAACACGTCGTGAAGTGGTCTGCTGCATCCTTGTACTCTGGTGGTGCCGACACGGTTAGAATCGACCTTCATATTATTTCGAATATGACATTTTGAGACTCATGCCTTCTTCAGACAGTTTCGGCAATATATTCGTTTTTCCTGGCCATGACACTCTTCCCCGACGCGCAGAAGAAGGCTCAAGCTGAAATCGATGCCGTCGTTGGTCCTGATCGTCTTCCCTCCTTCAGGGACCGCGACTCCCTCCCCTACACTGAGGCACTCGCAAAGGAAGTTCTACGTTGGAACGCCGTCGTCCCTACCGGTTTGTGTACTTTGTTTATAGCGTTCTATTGTTGACCAAGGGGGTATCTTAATGGCAGCCATTGCTCACCGTGTTATTGAAGACGACATCCACGATGGGTACTACATTCCCAAGGGCTCTTTGATCATACCCAATGTTTGGTTAGTACTCTCCTCCTGCATTCGTCATATTGACAAGATTGAATTTGCGGCAGGTCTATGCTTAATGATCCTCGGACATATGCTAACCCCTCGGAGTTCAACCCTGAGCGCTTCTTGGCCCAAGAAGGAAAGGAGCCTGAGACCGATCCTCGCACAATCTGCTTCGGGTTTGGTAGACGGTAAGAATTGAGTTGTTATTCGGAAACAAAACGCTGACGTTTTGCTCCGCAGTATCTGCCCAGGTTAGTTAGCTGAAAGAGGGTGCCGATCCTCAGGACATTTCTGACGTCGCTTACGTAGGTCTCCACCTCGCCGATGCATCTGTCTGGATGTCTGCCGCTATGTCGCTTGCCGTATTTGATATCTCCAAGGTTGTTGAGAATGGTGTCGAGATCACCCCTGAGATTGACCCCTCATCAGGTACAATCAGGTATGTCGCGCTTGCTGTCGTTTGCTGTGCTGGTCTAGACAAACACACTCCTAGCCACCCCAAGCCTTTCAAGTGCTCTATTAAGCCCCGTTCTGCTCAGTCCCTTGCGCTCATCCAGGAAGATGCTTAGTACCTCGGGGGGATACCTGGAGAACAACGCAGGGATACATCCGTTGCCTTGGGTTGCAACTTCATCTGACAATGCGTCATATTTTGTATCTTGCACTCAGAGGATGTGCAAGATGATTGGTCGTGTATTTCGATATCGTATATTTATGACATCTTACTTCATCTTGTTGGAATAATCTACAATGTGCGAATGATATTTCTGTGAATCTGCCGTAGTTTAGATATCCACGTGGTCACTGCCAGTGCCTTCGCTACAATGTTCTGACAATGGATGCGTGCTAGAAATAAGGACTTCAACATCCATTGCCTACCGACAGCGTACACGGTCTGTCTGACAACTTGCTTGACTGCTACCTGCCAATGCGATGTTAATAATGACGACACTTGACTTACCGACAAATGCACATGGTAGTGAGTACGAGTGATTAACGACGAGCCTCTGACACCTTAAGTTCTCGTGCCTCAAACAAGTGTTCTTCCGACTTAAACTCTAACAGCGTTAATATTACGTATGATACCCTAACAGCTCGTGGCAGACCGTCGAACTTCTGAGTGTACCATCTCACACCCATCGAACTTCTCCGAGTCCGAACGCACCATCTCACACCCATCAAACTTCTCCTAGTCCGAATGCACCATCTCACACCCATCAAACTTCTCCTAGTCCGAATGCACCATCTCACACCCATCAAACTTCTCCTAGTCCGAATGCACCATCTCACACCCATCGAACTTCTCCGAGTCCGAATGCACCATCTCACACCCATCGAACTTCTCCGAGTCCGAATGTACCATCTCACACCATCACATCAGCGAACCGATGAACCCCGATGTCACCTCCGAAAGTTCACCCGTGCAGTCGCAACCCTTGTGAAGAAGCAGAAGAGACGTTTGGATCGGACTCTGATGTTTTGCCATTGCCAGTCGTGTTCGTCCGAGCGCATACTAGTAGGATGATCCCGGCTTCAATCACGACTGACCCTGACAGGTTTTAAAACACTCATCCGCCGTGCTTCACGAAGACGCCCGCCTGCTCGATTTGAGTTATGTGCAGTTGAGCGGTTGATGTAAGTGGCACGGCTACGGATGCGATCTTGAGATCGCTAGCTTCCCGGATGACCCTAACGTTGTGCCTATGTGCGACGTGCGTGTTGCTTTTTCTAGAGTCAAATTTAGCGGCGCCGGAGTAACAGTAGAGGCAGGTATGGTATGGGAAATTGGGAATGTTCCTTCAGTACTAGTGCCGTCAATATAACTTGTGCCACAATTTGTTCAGGTGAGGACATATGGGCTTGACATAAGGAATTGCTATTGCGTCCTTCTATTGGTGTGTCTACGGGAGAGGTAGGCCACCCGGTACCGCGTGTTTTTCATGCCCACAGAAATAGTAGGGTCCTCCGAAGGATCGGAAACGACTCGTCTCTTTATCGTCCTGATACAGTTTTTCTTCAAGGAGTAGTCCTATTCAATTCCGTTATTTTGCGATGACTGCGCCCAAACAACTTCATGGAGTAAGCTGCTGACTTCTCACTCCAGTTTTGGCGTTGCTGAATGTATTGCTCCACCGAGACGACCGGTTCCAACAGAAGTGGCTGGGAACCGGCGCCCGAGGACACAATAAGAAGTTTTTTGCAAAGTGACCTGCGTATTTCACAATGTGAAACGGCGCTCCACTTGACGTGTACACTGTATTAGGTAGATGTGAAATAAGTATGCTCACTTTAGTCTACGGTTGCGAATGGATATCCGGTTGATTTTTATTTTTTTAAAAACTGCGAGATACTTTTTCGCTGCTGATACACCGTCGATGACCTCTGAACGCAATGGGAAGCCGTCCACCGAGATTGCGAATACGGAACCATTCGCGCAATGATAGGTGGTGCACGGTCTTCATATCCTCTTTGGAATTTACCTGGAAAATAATGTGACGACTCTTATCCGCACCCCTTCAAGTATATCTCCATGAGAGAGACCATTGATATCAATCAAAGGCTATTCAAGAACATCGGGTCGAGGGACTGGGGATAGTGTCGGATGTGGGCAGTGAGACATCGGTATAATCAAAATGTTTCGATGATCTTCTTTGCGAATAACACCAGGGACGGTTTCTTTGCGATTCTAGTTGGTGGAGAAATGAAAGTATATAGCTAGAGGAGAATACTGCCACAGAAAAGAGTTGATAGATATAGAATCTTAGTGCGTTTGCATACTGATCACGTGAGCACGATATCAACATCATGATTTCATTGACAGCAACACCCATTGAACGTAACCGAACCGAAGTGATAATCCGGGTTCTTGGTTAAACTGTTTTTTCTGGCTTGGTTCTCCATCAGTTCTTGGACCGTTCAGAACGGTTACCTCATGCTGTCAGTATTCTTTTCCGATTCGTCGGCTTGCAGCTGAACGTCAATCGAAATCAAGCTTCAAGCTTCGAGATGAGTCAATATGCAGTCTTTGCTGGGACACATACAAACCTATGCATCGGCATAAGCAGAAAGTGAGAGTCTGAGATCGAAAAACCCTTTGCGGGCCTCGTCACTGCCATCATAGTAAGTATGGTAATAAGCTACTACACCGTGACACGACGGAGATCACCACCGTTTAAACTCAGCACCAAAGCTCCCTAGCCACATCTACAGACTGCAACTCGCCTCATAGACAGACTGGTTATCAGTCTAAGACTTTGGTCCAAGAGTCTACTAATACGTAGGTTGGCCTTAGCGGCCATCTACCGGACAAGTCCCACTGTAACACCCACTATCTAACGGTAGCGAAAAAGTCGCCACCGGGCGGTATTAACTTCAACAGTGACAGTGCAATGTACGAAACGGTACTTGGTATTCACCGGTCTATTGACCCTCTGAGTCTTATCACTAATGCTTCATATAGGTTTCCACTGAGATTGCTGCATCGATGATGCGTACTTTTTCAAATAGTCCTCGTGACAGCCCGCCCAAGAGTTATAAATAAGATGGTCAGTATAGGACTTTTTTCATCTCATCCTGCAAGCCCCACGACAGCCCCACTTTCGAGTTGATCATCCTCTCCTAGTACTAGATCATGTTTGCTCTCACCAACGTCACTGCGCTCGACTTATGCCTTGCTTGTGTCGGAGTATATCTGCTTAAGCAGGTCTTCAACAAGAAGAACCCTCCATATCCCCCTGGTCCTCCGGGGTGGCCTATCATCGGGAATGTCCTGGACATGCCCTACATCAGGCCATGGCTCACCTTCACGGAGTGGGGCGAAAAGTATGGTGAGTATCTCTTGTTTTACACAACTTTGCATTTCAATGTCTTGTCGACAGGCGACATTTCGCATATTAATGTTCTGGGTCGACACATCGTGGTGCTGAACTCTGTCAAAACTGCGATGGACATGCTGGACAACAAGAGCATCATTTACTCCGACCGTCCTATTCTTCCTGTTGGCGGCGAACTTATTGGCTGGAAGAACGTTATGGTTCTCCTCCCTTATGGCGACCATCTGCGCCGGCACCGCAAAAACTTCCACGGCGTCATTGGCACCCGCGCCGCTGTGGCCATATACAACCCGGTCGTGGAGGTCGAGACTCACCGATTCCTCAAGCGTGTGCTCGCGAAACCCGATCAACTGCAGGCACATGTTCGACAGTATGTATCATTTATCGTTGCATCAACACGATGTTGATTTATATAGCACCGCTGGCGCTGTGATTCTGCGCATCTCTCATGGTTACGAGGTGAAAGAGAACGACGATCCCTTCGTTGACCTTGCAGACCGCGTTATGAACCAGTGGTCGCGTGCCACCGCCCCTGGCGCTTTCCTGGCTGATGTCATGCCATTTTGTAAGCCATATCATTCAGACGTTTGCTTCCAATAGCCTCACCACTTTTAGTGATCAAGGTCCCTGAATGGTTCCCCGGTGCTGGCTTCAAGCGTCTGGCCCGCAAATGGCACGACAACCTTGAAGAATTGGTTTGTGCACCGCACAAGTTCGTCGTGGATCAGATGGTGGCAATCATTCATAATTCTGCGAGTATGCGTTAAAGTTTGACTTTCACAGGCTGCTGGCACTGCCCCGGAGTCTTTCACATCGAATCTGTTGAGAGGCGGTAGTTTGTCAGCGGAAGACGAGCACATTGTGAAGTGGTCTGCTGCAGCCCTGTACGCCGGTGCTTCTGACACAGTTGGTCCCTCGCTCTATATTTCTGACAATCATCTTCTGAGAGCGACACACTTTTTCCCAGACTGTCTCTACTATCAATGCGTTCTTCCTAGCTATGACGCTGTTCCCTGACGTGCAGAAGAAGGCTCAGGCTGAAATAGATGCTATCATCGGTCCTGATCGTCTTCCCTCATTCGCCGACCAAGACACTCTCCCCTACATGGAAGCGTTTGTTAAAGAGACCCTACGATGGCATTCTGTTATCCCTACCGGTTTGTGTATTTCATTTAACGCACTATTGAGTTGCCGAGCGATATTTGAATGTCAGGTTTTGCCCACTGCGTATCTCAGGACGACATCCATGACGGGTACTACATCCCGAAAGGTTCCTTGATCATGACTAACATCTGGTCGGTACCTCTTTTTTCCGTATTCAACGTTTGAACAGAATATGATGGCAGGTTCATGATGAATGACCCGAAGAGATATGCTAACCCTTCGCAATTCAATCCTGAACGCTTTTTAGGCAAGGAGCCTGAGACAGACCCGCGCACGATCTGCTTCGGTTTTGGAAGACGGTAAGCATGCAGTCGGGTTTTGTGCCATGCTAACTTCCTGCTCTGCAGTATTTGTCCTGGTATGCCCGACTCCCAAATTATATTCTGACGTTGAATTCATTTTCGTTTACAGGTAATTACCTTGCTGAAGCCTCTGTCTGGTTGTCCGCTGCGATGTCACTGGCCGTGTTCGATATCTCGAAGGTCGTCGAGAACGGTATTGAGATCACCCCTGAGGTTGATCCGATATCAGGCACAATCAGGTATGTTGGATATCTGATCACGTCTGGCGCTGATCCGGATGTATATCCTTCTAGCCACCCTAAACCATTCAAGTGTTCCATTAAGCCTCGCTCTTCAAGAGCCGTCGCGCTCATTGAGCAGGACGTTGGCTATTAAGCGTGAGAATATGAATCACAAAGCTGAGGCAAGCGGCGATTTTCACACCTGATATCTAAGGTCCGTCATAGTTTGAACATTGTATCATAATGCAGGATCGACTATCACATCGCGATACAATTGTACATATCTTCCTGTTCCATATTGTTGAAAGTGCATACTCTGGCATTAAAGACGCTTGTGGTCTACACCTCAGGCTTGGATGTCAGAAATGTGGGGTTGGACCAGGGAGACCACAGTCAGCTCCCTGCATATTGCCGATGGACCGTCGACATTCAATATTCAATGATGATCGATTTGCGAAATTAGAGGATGGTATTGGGGAACACTGCCACAGGAGAGAGAGACTTTTGATATAAATAGCTGGCACGTGTGTCAGAACATGCTGATCACGTGAGCACAATATACATTGCAAAATGTCAGATTCTTCAAGCACTCTTTGACGCACAGACCTCTATGCATCTGCGAAAGCAGAAACCAAGAGTCTAAGGTCGAAAAACCCTATGTGGGCGTCGTCACTGACACTTCAATAAGCTACTACACACTGTGCATGACGGAGATCACTAGCACTTAAACTCAGCCCGAAGCACCCAAGCCCCCTAGCCCTATCCATAGACTCCAACGACGGCTCGCCTCATAATCAGACTGGTTTAGTAGACTTTGGGCCATGACTCTACTAACTTGAATATCCCCAGAGTGGCCATTTTTCGGACGTGTCCCACTGTAACACCCACTCCCTAACGGCAGTGAGAAATTTGCCACCGGGCGGGCGGTGCTTATGAACAGTTGACAGTACAATGTACGAAACAGTACTAGTACTTGGTAATGAGCGCTCTGAGTCTTATCATGATATCACTAATGCTTGATGTAGGTTTCCACTGAAATTGATTATCTTTTCCATCCGGACTTTTTTCACATAATGAAGCCTCGTGACGGGCCCAAACTTAAGTTCAGTTATAAATAAGATGACGGTCAGTATAGGAATCTATTCATCTCGTCCTGCAAGCTTCACCATAACCCCACTCTCGAGTTGATCGTCCTCTCCTAGTAGTACTAGATCATGTTGGCCCTCACCAACGTCACTGCGCTCGACCTATGCCTTGCTTGTGTCGGAGTATATCTGCTTAAGCAGGTCTTCAACAAGAAGAACCCTCCATATCCCCCTGGTCCTCCGGGGTGGCCTCTCATCGGGAACGTCCTGGACATGCCCTACATCAGGCCCTGGCTCACCTTCACGGAGTGGGGCGATAAGTATGGTGAGTATCTCTTGTTTCACACAATCTTGCATTTCAATGTCTTGTCGACAGGTGACATTTCGCATATTAATGTTCTGGGTCAACACATCGTAGTGGTGAACTCTGTCAAGATCGCGATGGACATGCTGGACAATAAGAGCACCATTTACTCTGACCGTCCTATTCTTCCTGTTGGCGGCGAACTTATTGGCTGGAAAAACGTCATGACTCTCCTCCCTTATGGCGACCAGCTGCGCCGGCACCGCAAAAACTTTCACAGTGTCATTGGCACCCGCGCCGCTGTGGCAATATACAGCCAGGTCGAGGAGATCGAGACTCACCAATTCCTCAAGCGTGTGCTTGCGAAACCCGATCAACTGCAGGCGCATGTTCGACAGTATGTATCATTCATCTTTGCATCGACACAATCTTGATTTTTATAGCACCGCTGGCGCTGTGATTCTGCGCATCTCTCATGGTTACGAGGTGAAAGAGAACGATGATCCCTTCGTCGACCTTGCGGGACGCGTTCTGGTCCAGTGGTCGCGTGCCACCGCTCCTGGCGCTTTCCTGGCTGATGTCGTGCCATTCTGTAAGCCATATCATTCAGACGTTTGCTTCCAATGGCCTCACCATTTTAGTGGTCAAGGTCCCTGAATGGTTCCCTGGTGCTGGCTTCAAGCGTCTGGCCCGCGAATGGCGCGACAACCTTGAAGAATTGGTCTGTGCACCTCACAAGTTCGTCGTGGATCAGATGGTGACAATCATTTATAATTCTGCGAGTATGCGTTAAGGTTTGACCTTCACAGGCTGCTGGCATTGCCCCGGAGTCTTTCACCTCGAATCTGTTGAGAGGCGATAGTTTATCAGCGGAAGACGAGCACATTGTGAAATGGTCCGCTGCAGCCCTATATGCCGGTGGTTCCGACACTGTTGGTCCCTCCCCCATATTTCTGACAATCATCTTCTGAGAGCGCCACACTTTCCCCCAGACTGTTGCTACTATCAATGCGTTCTTCCTAGCTATGACGCTATTCCCTGACGTGCAGAAGAAGGCTCAGTCTGAAATAGATGCTGTCATCGGTCCTGATCGTCTTCCCTCATTCGCCGACCAAGACACTCTCCCCTACATCGGAGCGCTTGTTAAAGAGGCCCTACGATGGCATTCTGTTATCCCTACCGGTTTGTGTATTTCATTTAACGCATTATTGAGTTGCCGAACGGTATTTCAATGTCAGGATTTGCCCACTGCGTATCTCAGGACGACATCCATGACGGGTACTACATCCCAAAAGGTTCCTTGGTCGTGACTAACATCTGGTCAGTACCTCTTTTTTCCATATTCAACATTTGAACAGAATATGATGGCAGGTTCATGATGAACGACCCGAAGAGATACGCTAACCCTTCGCAATTCAATCCTGAACGCTTTTTAGGCAAGGAGCCTGAGACAGATCCACGCACGATCTGCTTCGGTTTTGGAAGACGGTAAGCATGCGGTAAGGTTTTGTGCCAGGCTAACTTTCTGCTCTGCAGTATTTGTCCAGGTATATCCGACTCTCAGATTATATTCTGACGTTGAATTCATTTTCGTTTACAGGTATCTACCTCGCTGAAGCCTCTGTCTGGTTGTCCGCCGTGATGTCACTGGCCGTGTTCGATATCTCGAAGGCCGTCGAGAACGGTATTGAGATCATCCCTGAGGTTGATCCATTGTCAGGCACAATCAGGTATATTATACATCTGATCACGTCCGGCGCTGATCTGGATATATATCCTTCTAGCCACCCCAAACCATTCAAGTGTTCCATTAAGCCTCGCTCTTCAAGAGCCGTCGCGCTCATTGAGCAGGACGTTAACTATTAAGCGCGTGAAGATGAATCACAGAGCTGAGGCAAGCGGCGATTTTCACACTAGGTTCGTCATAGTTTGAACTTGTATCATAATGCAGGATCGGATCAGTAGTTGGTGCAAGCATGGGTGGACAGCTCGTGCCAGTAGAGATATCTGGGATATTGATTTATGCAAACAATGTCAGCACGTATAATAAATCTCGAATATGAAATGGCAGGTAGTTAAATAACTGATTTGAATCTTAACTAAATACTACGACGAAAAATTTACCCAGACCTATGTCTCGAAATCTACTTCAGAGCACTAAATAAGCTTAATCAATACTATCACGAAAGTGGGAATAAATAAAAGCAAATTCCCCTGCTCCTTACAGAGCACTAGATAACCGTTAACTTCACCGAGCATCACACACTACTGCTAGTTGATATATGCACACGTTCTTGAAAAGCGATTGAGGTCATGCCTGTTGCTGCGTCGGAGTCGACCACGAGCTTGGCGTTATATTCTCGAATGCCAAGGATCAGGCGTGGTCCTAGCACAGACATCTGCACGACCTCTAAAATTTGAAGAAAGCCGTACAAAGTCTGAGCGCCTAGGGAATGTTGAGCCTATAGGAATGATGAATCGTGGTCGCATACAGAAGTGAAAGATTAACATACCGTTGAGATCAGTGTGGGAGAGAAATCAAGAATGATATGGGAGCAAGAAACAGCAACAAAGCTACCGTATCGGACCCTTCAGTTGAAAAAAAAAAGGAATCAGAATCACAATATGAGCTTGCCTCGCGAAGTAAACCAAGTGAGTTCTCATCAACACCGTGAAACAGTCCTCGATAAACCCTCCCGTCGAATGTCGTTGTAGTTCACGGAAGTGTTTTACAGCAATCCAGATTGCGAGACATATTGCGAGGACCTCCCACACGATACCGAATATCCAAGTAATGAAACTTAGAAGTTGAGTAACTTCCGGATAGGCAATCGCGCACTGATGAGTGCCGGAGAAAATGATTTCCACTAGTATTCATCAATGAGCTCCATGCACGTTTGTTTTCATCCACAATTATGCGTACCTCCTGAACTACGCATCGTTATTATTACGACTACCACTCCGTTGAAAATGACAACAGCCAGGAAGGTGACAATGAGAAATATCAAGATCTTTCTGGATCCTTGATACATGGCATATAACCGAGTGATGATGATGACTTGCAGCATGTTTCAGTCAAGTCAATATCACCGAGGTGTCGCAAGTGCCAAGCTCACCCCACAGCATTGGTACTACCAAAGCAGCCGTCACATCCCGTGTGACGAACATAATGAAGCCTGATGAATTCAGTCAGTGACCTGCCTCGGGTACCACACTCTAAACGGACTCACATCTATGACGGTATAGGGTGGCAGTCATGAGTGAACCAAGAAGCTAGTAAAGAACGGCACCCACTTCTATAGGGCACCACAGTTCATTGGAGGGGGATAGTAGGCATCTGTGCAGAAGACTTACTGTATCTGTCAGCGAGATGGTCGGAATATTGCCTGTATGTTGTTGGTCAGAAGAGGCAAAGACAGAGAATATGTACTAAGGATACATACCCACTACGACCAGGCTGATTATGAGAGAGATATAGTTAGCACAACACTGATTGTTTAGCCTTCCGAACATACGCAGCAAATAAGAATCCAGGGTAGCGCACCTAGTAGGGTACTTTCAAGTCAGCACAACATGAAAACAGCGACAAACAAGCGACATACACCGAGATACAGAACTGTCATCAAGGACCAACGTTGCCTCTGTAATTGAGTGTACTTTCATGAGTGTTCCTCTGACATGAGACTCTACTCACCCAGATCAGTTCAACCTATGAAACTATTCTTAGCGAGATGGGTGCCCCGGTCATAAGATCGACATACCTCTTGCCCGAATGTAAGTGCTGAAAATACTTGTAAGATATCAGCAGTCCTCAAATATGATCATGCTCACCCCAATCATACGTCACTCCAACAAAGGCGGCAACTGCGAAACCATAACCAAGGTTAGATCGAGACATCAGCTTCAACATCTGACTGCTCTCTACGAACATGAAAAATAGCTGAAAAAACGAAATTCATTGATGGTCGGCCACCAAGTGGGATCATTCGAAACTATGGTCATATTGGCAGAGAATGGGTGTGGTTGAGAGATAAACTTGGTGGTCGTATGACGATGGCATTCGTGCTAGTTATACCACCATCCAGTGCTTGGATCACCGAAACAAAATCAAGGGAGGATGGCCGTTCTTGCTTTGATTGGTTGAAGTAGATATTTTTGCATGAAGAAAGGTAAATTAATCCAGGGGCTCATATATTAGCAATGAAACATTTGCAACTTGAACACTGCAAAAGATTGAACAAACATCAAGAACTGTTTCGTGATCTCGTCGCCTTGTTTCAAATGCCATTTTTGCTACACATGCATCAGTCCATCAATGCAACTTCATATGTTTGACACGTACTGACCAAGGTGCGACCATCAAAAGGCCTGTCATCTCCCCTCTTTTCGCCTCGCCGGCACAGGCCCGGGGAGCATAATAGTTTAACCAAGGTCACTCAACAAATTCACATTGCATGGACATGACGCTAGACCAGAAAAGCTGGCCGTCAACATAGGGGAGATCGACACGAAGCAAACAAACTCACCCCTATATCAAGAGAGCGTCGAGAGAGGACATTGGAGAAAATGATACTTAGATACACAGTAATTGACGGTGGTAAAGTTCTGTTGGCACACCATCAGAGTCAAAGTCTTAGGAAAAAACACACCCACACCATACAGCTACCAAGGCACACCATCAACACTTATTCCAAATAAAACCATACCACTGGATTCATCATGCAGTTGATGCCAATTGGAAGTTCTTCCGTTGACTCACGCTTTCATACGGTAGCCTGTGGATTGGGGCGCCGTCTATGATTCGCATGAACCAGCTACTATAACGACGCTCGAGACTACATCGACGCCCCAGAACTCCGACTGATGACCAAGATCCGAGAACGCAGAGAATGCACAGGGTGTGCACAGACAAATGATGGATGCAGTTCGGCCGTGGGGTAGATGGTGGTCATCCCTTTTCGGCGGGTGTACACGAAAATAAATTGATGCATCATGCAAATAGAGCACGGGGAGAAACCAAAGTCGGACGCATCGCAGGAAGCCCGACTTTCCTTCTGACGATGGACCAGGGGTCCCAGGACAAGGGTACAGAGACCTAGGCTTTCGGAGGTTTCCACAGCTTAGTCAGACGATACGCACATGCACACGGTTCCTGTAGTAGCATAGCTCATTCCTTCGCAGCAGCGGTCTCTCATCTCATCTCTAGCACTAGTCCATCTTGGTGAACAGAGCGATTTCGAACCAAAGACGCATAGGATTTTAGGAGCATTCAGCATCTTCAGATCATCGGATTTAGCAGCAGCCTTGCATATAACCGCAGCATCAGAATCAGAAGCAAAGCAGGATACCATTTGCGAAAAGCTTCGCAGACAACGTATTACGTCGTATTACGATCAAAAAAGATAAAGATAAACAACAGGTGTTTGTTAAACAAACCACAAGTATTCAAAAAGGGCTGTGTTCTATTCTACTCGTTTACGTGGAATTTCACCAAAAAACTGATGCATAGCGGTTTGAGACCTAGAACAGAAACAGGACAGGCGATAACCAACGTTCGGTTAAAAATTAACTGGTCAGCGGATACGTCCACAGCTTCATCCCCGCTAGACACACCAGAACAATTTCCAAATTCTCCGCTCACGAGCATCAATAGCTCAGGAAGTAACAGGGCATTGTCTGAGTTAGACGTACCGAATTTGGACCTCGATTTATCTCAGCTCGAATTAGAACTACAAGAGTACGCAAAACCAGAACCGTTCACATCGCTTTTCACGACACCAAACTACAATCTTGGCGAGTTCTTCGAAATCGCAGAGCCGAAACAATATATGCCTATGGAGACACCGCAGATATTTCATGGCGATGGACGCAAAACGGAAAATCCGGCAGACTTTCTTAAGTCATTCAATCGGGCAATGCGACAGCAGGCAATAATCACGAGCAGTGATAAGTTAGAGGCGTTCGGGGATTATCTCAGCACAGGATCAGAAGCGGAGGTATGGTTTAAAGGACTCACGGGGACGAACAAGACAACATGGGTCCTGTTTGTCGTAGCTTTTGAAGCACGATGGCCACCTATCACGATCGCAAAGAAGACCAAGGCGGAATACGAAAGGGAGTTGTTAGATCATCGTTTAATGGACGTAGACGTGGGGACGAAGACCATGTTGTACGATCAAGAATGTTGGGCACACGAAGCATGGGCAACGAAGGCGCAGCAGCTTGCAACAAGTGCAGGAATAGAAGGAAGCACATCGATGATATGGCAAGTTAGAGGACAACTGCCAAGCGTCGTCAAAGACTTGCTGAAAGACGAAGAATATGCAAATTGGGAGGCGTTTACGAAAGAAGTTAAAGAGTTGAAGGGCAATAGACTTCTGGAAAAGAAGGAGCAGTACATCAGACAGGAACGAGAGGTCAACATGTTGCGTGCAGACGTAGCCCGGTTGCAACAGCGCAGCACAACGTCAAACCCAATCACGGCACTCCAGAATCAATTATCTCGCATGTCAATTGCAGCACCAAAACAAGCTACGACGCCGTTAAGCAATAGTAACGTGGCACGAGTACCAGCACAGCAAACAAATCAGTCCGCACCATCCACCATTAGCCGTCAACCACTCACAAGCCCACAACCGCTCGTCATAACAGAGGACATAAAGAACACGATTAGACAACTCGTTTCGTCAATCGTTCATCAACCAGACACTCCAGCAGGACACACAGCATACAGAACGCAAATCGCACAATGGAATGTGAAATGGGGAGAGAGCACAAGAGTTTCGCATGAGACTGGGTACCCGCTCAAGCCAGGGACAGCAGCTATCGCGTCAAGTGAATGTTTCAACTGCGGAACGCATGGACATAATAGTCGCAACTGTGTCTTACCAGCAGACCACACAGAGAGGCTCTCGAGGAAGGAGGCGGCATGGCGCGCAATCACAAGTAAAGCGTTGGGAGCCTTCAATCGAGCGACAGCAACCACTATAGCGCTCGTCATTGACGGAAACTATGAGACAACAGGAGCATGGATCGAAGAAATCTCGGAGCAACAGGGAAAAGGGGACGGGTCGACGTAGAGCAGAACAATACGTCGACCCAAAGTTTCAAGGACCCGCAGGACGAAATCAAAGTCCTCGCATGTGTGGAGGCAAGATGCGAGGAAAAGATCAGGATCAATAGCCCCGAACTCTATGCTAAAGCCGTAGCTAAGGATGTCAAATGTATCACCAAT